GGTTCAGATGCAGTTTGCCTACACCTGCCTCTGTGTAGCAATCTCTGTCTTCCTTGGTGGTTTCGCGGCTAAGTACTGACCAGGGTTTACCCTGATGAGCTTCCGAGATCAAGTTCGCCTGGGCTATCTAGGTCAGAGGGTGAAAATATATACCCATTATTAATATATGCAACTAACCACACAAGGATGGTTTTAAAAGTTATTGCAGTGGAAAAGGGAAAAAAGTACTCTCTCCCCGTCGGGGAATCGAACCCCGGTCTCCCGCGTGACAGGCGGGGATACTTACCACTATACTAACGAGGAAACAGTTATTAGTTCACTTGACATAAAAGCCCCAATAGGAGTCCTCCGTCCCTGTTTCCCATAATAGTATTGTTCTAGAGATGCAACATCCTCATCCTATTCCATTGCTCCGTCTTTCCAACCTGCAAATTAAGTTCTGCTTTCAGATCCTGATCTCTGTTCAGAGTAATGTGGGGAGGGAAGAGTCCAAAGCGTCTTTTTCCCGTGTCCTCCGTCAAAAAAGACAGGAGATGCTGCAAAGCGGTTGCGAGCTTGAGTAGGGAGCCGGGAGGGGGCGGGGGAAGTTTTCGCGGGGGGGGGGCAGGGACCCCCGGGGGAGCCGGGAGGAGGCGGGGGAAGTTTTCGTTTTTTCATCACCTGTCTACGTGTATCCTAGACAACAGACCAGGTATCACTCCCCTCCCCCCCCCAAGAAAATTAAAAAATAACCATCAAGGAATCTGAAACGCTTTTGGATGTGAGAAAAATATTGCTGCGTTGGCCGGGAATCGAACCCGGGTCAACTGCTTGGAAGGCAGCTATGCTAACCACTATACCACCAACGCTCTGTTGAAATCATTTTTTGATTTTTCTTACATATTTTAAGTTTGGGCAGCTGGTAAAATTTCTGGGATCGTTGTATTCAACAGCTGTGACATCTCAGACCAGAGTTCAAGCAAACGCAAGGTTGTATGAACACGCTGGAGGATCTTGCACGCCTTGGGGTAAAATGGCAAAGTGAGATGCATCTGACGAAGAGAGCTGTGTTTCTTGAAAGCTTATGCTTCAATAAAGTTTGTTAGTCTTAAAGGCACTAACTGGACTTTTTACTATTTTGTAGCAACAGTCTAACATGGCTAATTCCTCTGGATCTATGATCATTTCATCCAGAGGAACTGATCCCTGTAGAGATCAGTTACAATCGCAGGAGAACTCCGGGCCCCAACTGAAGGCTGGCAACCCCAAGCACAAGCAGGTCTACTTGTAAGTAAGCCTTACTGTATCCAATGGGACTTACTCTCAGGAAAAGGTTTCTAGGAATCCAGCCTGACGTTTCAGTAGGTCAGAATAAAAGTAGATATTTATTGTGATGTGGCAAGATTTTAGGAATGCGATTATGAGAGCCTGTTATGTGATGCTTTTTTCCCCCAGCATTATGAATAAGATATACCAGATTTCCTTTTGTCGCTTTTGTTAATACTCTTCCCAGAAGTGAGCAGTTCCAGAACTAAGCACACAATGTTTTTTTAAAAAATCCATTTGCCAGGAAATTGAGCAACTGACCAAAAGAACCTTGAAATATGAGCCTCCTGGATGAGAAGTGGGCAGAAGAGGGGACATTTTCATCTGCGTACAGCAGCCGGTCCAAAGACGTTTCTGTGTAAAGTAGCTACAAGGTGAAACTCCTTAAGGGTGAGAAAGGGATCTTCACTTACCTTTTCCGCAGTTACGAACTAGGCTAAACTGAGACACGGTCCTCTCCGAGTTCAGAACCATCAGTCCACAAGGAAGTACCTTTCAAAACGATTTTTTAAATATTTACTAGTGGTTAAAAATTAAACGCATCGAGAAAAATAGGAAGGGGGGAATTGCAAGGAAAGAAGATCTAAACAGACAGGAAGATACTCTTCATCATGAGACTATTCACAGCTCTCCTGTTCATTTTATACTCATTGCTTTGTGCTTATGCAATAAAGGTAAGGATTTTATTTTAGATAAAATTGTTTATAACTGAGAAACACATTTCAGCTGTCATGTGTTTTATTTATGTTAGGGACCGTAAGGAAAACCTAGCTGGTTCAAGTTATGTGCTCTTTCCAGTGCAATCCTAAGTGTAATTACAGCCTTCTGAGGCCATTGATTTCTGTGGATTTGGACAGGGGGAAATACTCTGCTTGGAGGATCCTATTGCTAGAAGCATTTTTTTTTCCCTTACAGGCTAAATCTAGAAGCAGAAAGAAGCCAACCCGGGAAGCTCCACTAGGTCAGCAAGAAAACTATTTGATAGAAGAATGCGTAAGGAACAGCTATACGGTTAATTCTTGCAGCAAAGTTTTTTGCCAACCCTGGCAGAAGTGTGTGGATGGTGCCTGTCTCTGTAAGCTGCCCTATCAATGCCCAAGGAATGGCACCTCAGTTTGTACTGCCGAGGGAAGGACTTTTCGAAATTACTGCCAACTAAAGAGCTACGAATGTCAACGTCCCAAGAGCAAATTTAGGAGCAGAGGAAGCTGTAAACTTCAAGGTATGAATGTTGTATCTCTTCCTCACTCGTAGTGACAAGGACTAATTAGTAAGGATGGGAAGCTCAACCATGCTGGCTTTAACCAGTTATTCTGTAATGTTCAATGTTCCCTCTAAGCTGTTGTACTTTGTGAGCTACTGGTATTAAAGTTGTGAGCAAGCAATTTGGTTCCTGCATAAAGCTGGAAGCTAAAAAACGGAGCTAGCTCACCCTAACAGCTTAGAGGGAACACTGGTAATGTCTTCAGGATGTGGTCTTAAGAATCTTAGAAGATAGTAAGGGACATCTGTTAAGTTTCTTTTCAAGACAAGAATCTTAATGCTTTGGTTCACTGAAAATGGAATTTCTTTTTTAAATGAGAAATGTGTCTGCTGGGTTTTTTGTGTTCAGTTTGCAGTGGCAAATTAAATATAACTTTGTTTAATCAAGGGCAGTAAGTAATTATCATGACTATTTAAGTTATATTGGTTTCATAGGTTTCCAGAACTATGCCCAAAATCTGCCTTGTCGTATTTTGTTTGGTTTTCTGTTTTTAAAAAGTTATGACTTTCCGTCTGAAGATTACAGTGAAATTAAGGTTGATTTAAAATGGCTTATGCTTCAAGGGAATTTCCCATTTAAAAAAAATTGCCACAGTGGGAATGTCACGTGCTGATAAGCCTTGCAGCTAGAGAGACAGAAGTGTTAGCAAGTTTCATTTTGCCTTCCAGACAACTTTGAAGTTTCCCTGAAGCCAGAAAATGCATCCGAGAGATTTATTGAAGTCAAAGTAAATTCCCAGAAGAAGTTTATTTGTGGGCATGGATGGGGTATGAATGAAGCAAACGTGGTCTGCAGACATCTTCGTTTTCTGGAGTAAGGTTATGTGACGGGGAAAACATGTTATGCTGATAAGTATGAGGTTTAAAGAAGGTGCCACTGTCTAGCAAAGAGCCAGCATCTGTAAAGACCTCTGTAGCACAGGGTTGGATCCAGCCAACCTTCAAACTGAGTCATGGCCAGTTCTTTCCTTACCTCAGCTCCCATTCCAGATTTCCAAAAAGAGGGCTGAGCCTTACAGCCGTGCCTCCATCAGGGGCGGGCCAACAGTGCGAACGCTCCCTTGCGCCTCCTCCCCGGTATGCTCCTGTATCAGTCGGTGCAGTGTGACCGGAAAACCCGGAACAGTCTGTTCCGGGTCTTTTTTTGCCACGACTCCCTCCGGCTTCAAACTGCCAGTCTGAACTCAGCCAGGGTGTCTGTTGTGGGGAAGAGCAGGGAAAGGAGATTGTAAGCCGCTCTGAGACTCTGAGTGAAGGGCGGGGTATAAATCCGATCTCCTCCTCCTCCTCCTCCTCCTCCTCCTCCTCCTCTTCTTCTTCTTCTTTGTATATTTTTTGTTTCCTCCACCTTGAAACCCAAAGCAGCACTTATAGGGTTCCCAGGAGATGTCCCATATAACCAGGAGCTGCTAAGCCTGGTAAGGTTGATGTACCTAGGATTGCCAACCTCCAGGTGGGGCCTGGAGATCTCCTGGAGTTACACCCGATCTCCAGACCACAGAGATCAGATCCTCCGGAAGAAATGGCAGCGTTCGGAATGGATCCTATGGCCTTATGCCCTCCCCTCCCCAGGCTCCGCCTCCAGATCCCCAGGAATTTCCCATCGTGGAGTCTGCAACCCTAAGTGCGCCTTCTGCCTTCCACCTGTACCCTGGGATTCCGTAGTGTCCTGTTAGAATGGGTTTACAAGGACAGTAGGAATGGTGGGATAAAGTTACCACAGGCCGCAGGCCCGTAGCTACCATGGGGCTCACGGGGCCTGGCCCCCTAGTGGTTTTTATGGGCCCCCTCCCGGACCCATGGCTCCCCCTCCCCTCCAGGCCACCTCACCCCGATTGCCTGTCGGCAGGGAGGATGAGGGCAGCAGAAGCAGGAGCCGCGGCAGCAGTGAGGCTGGGCGTAAGAGAGCGGCCCGGGCAGGCAGCGAGCATGAATGGCACAAGGAGAAGCCTCCATCTCGGGCTTCCACTAGATGCTCCCTGTGCCGTGCGCCAGCAGCAGGTAAGCCCAGCCAGGCAGGCAAGGAGGCAAGCCGCCACCTCCTCTTGACCCTGGCTGCGCTCCATTGTACCAACAAAACCACACGCAGTGGCTCTGTGGCCAGCCTGGCTGCCGCGCGCCTCACCTCTCCCAGCCCCGGGAGGGAGCTGAGGGTGGACATCAGGCTGCCCCTTATGCTGTGCCGTGGGAAGAGGAACTGGGTTCCAGGGAGGAGAGAGCCAGACGCTCTGCAGGGACGGCCTGCCCTTGCCGGGGGGGGGAGGAGGGAAGCTACAGCTGCTGGGCATTGCCCCCCCCTTGCCCTGGAGCCTGGGGGGTACAGGGCTGCCCTAGGAGTTCTAAGGGGTCCCACCAATTAAATCAAAGTTAATTTAATTAAACCCCCCGGTGGGGGGAGGTGTTAGCCAGCGAAACGGAATGTCCAGCTTGTAAGCTCGGAAGCCTGGAAGGATCTCTTCGGCATTAAGAAGCCTGCGATGGGCCAATCCGGCCAGGCGGTGGCAGTGCAACGCTGCAACTCGAAGCAGTCCTGGAAAAACTGACATCATCAAGCCAAGCCGAGTGAATGCCGTCTGGAACACGTCTAAGTCTACAGCTGGAAAAAAAAACCCGTCGGCTGCAAACGTGTGCAACTTTAAAAGATTTATATGTTGTCCTCCCTTACCCCCTATGAATCATTGCTAGTCCCTTGTTAATATGTGTAACTGTAAATCGCTCAGAGCCAGCAGCTCTGCAGGATTGAGCGATTAATAAATCAAAAGATATTATTATTAACTTTTTTAAATTGGCTACTGGCCCCCCCAAGGCCCCATCCCCCAAAAAATCCCTAGCTACGGGGCTGCCACAGGGTGTCTCATGCAGGATACTGCTGTACATAACTCAGTCCCAAAGGCTACATTATGGCAGCTGACCCACATCTTAAAAAACAGGGTTGTCAGATCCACACTTCAATAGCATGGCTGAGACCAATGATACTCCTAGACTCATTACATCAGGGGTGTCAAATATAAGGCCTGGGGCCCGGAACCGGCCCACCCAGGACTCTTATGCAGCCTGCAAGCAACTAGTGCAAGGGAGGGAGCAGGAGACGTCTTTGGGGGAGTGCGTGGAGCCACTCCAATTGTGGCTTCAGCACGGCAGTCGAGCAGCATGGGGGTGTCTGCCCAGTGCTGCACCGCTGGCTCTCCAGTCTGCCCAAATGGGTTTTCCCTTAGCCCCCCCCTCCCAGCCCAGGGGGCCTTGCAGTGAAGATGCACCAACTCGGAGCTGACCAGCTGCTGTCCTTTATACAGTTTATATCTCCGGTATCTGGCATTACGTTTATGGCATACATGGCCCGGCTCGACAAAGTGACATTTTTGTCAGATCCGGCCCTTGTGACAAATGAGTTTGACATCTCTGGCTTAAAGGGTCAAATGGACACACGTTCTGGAAGCGCTGAGCTCTGTCTGGCTCTTGACTCCCCCTTGCGTCCCCTCCCACAGGCACTTGTCAAAATCCCACAGCCACAGCTAGATAGTTTTATCCCCGTCGTGGAATCAGAAGCACTAGAGATAGCACTAGAGATACCCTTTGATCTTGCCTTCTCTGAGGCAGGTAGCTTTCCAAGAAGTAGTGAAATTACTGAAAAATAAAAAACAAACCATCCTCTCTCCTTGTCCACAGTGGACATTAAAGTCTGAACTAAATAACACACGTGGTTCTCGACACATTTTTGTTTGCATTTTGCAGGGGGGCTGACCGCATAGAATTGGGGCACCCAAATGATGCCTGGGATTCATCGGAATGCCTTAAAGCGACTTGCAGAGGCATAGAGACCAGCCTAGCCGAATGCTCTTTAGCTAGAACCAGCAGGGGTGACAGTAAGCTTGCCAAGGTGGTGTGCCACACAACACCTAGAGGTAGGTAAAATATGGTTTCCAAGGTGGGTGAGGGGAAGCTGTATCATATGCTTGGTGAGTAATTTTACACTGCATGTTTCACTTTAGTGATGCTGTAACATTAGAAGCCAATGAGCTCGTGTTACAAAGATTCATTGCTTATGATATTAGCTGTTGGTCCAGTGTAGTTGTGCTGGACCCAGTCAGCGTTATCTGTAGTTTAGTAAAACTGCTCTGTATCTTTAAGAATTGTTGCACCTGGGAATTGGAGTCCACAGTTAGGGGTCCCAGAAGCTTCCCTCTGACTGGCTCATTAAGAGTAATTTCCTGAGCTCAGAGGCGCAAAGATAGGAGTTTTTATTGTTCTTTTCCGCTTTCTTTGTCCTTCAACCCTTACTGCAAGGAGAGGGGAAACCCATCTCTTTCTCACCGCGGCTATGGAACTGACCTAGATCACAAGATGTAACTTTCTTGTCCCAGCCAGTGTTCCCTCTAAGCTGTGCAAGTGAATGGTCGCTCATTAACACAGGAAGCCCCGCTCAGCAGCAACCGGGAGCCACACAACGTCTTGCACTGCCCATGGCCCATTTTAAGATGACAGTAGTTGAATTCTGCTCAAGATGTGAACTGCTCAGCTCAGTCGGAGAGGGGGATTACAGTGAACATTGGTCGCGGCACTAATAGCCCTAACTAATCTGATCTAGTCACCATAGTTTTAGCATGCCCAGCGCGATGACGTCATTGCGCTGCGCACGTCAAGCGTGGTGGGGCTCTTCAGGGGCAGGGCTCCCCTCCCCCACCAGCCAGTTGGCAAGCAGTGGATTGGGGCCCTCAAAATCAGGGGAAACCCCTCCCTCATGGAGGGGGATTGGCTACCGTAATCCATTCATTCTAGAACCTAGTCCTCTTAAGAAGTTTCTCCTTTTCCAGCAATTTTTCTTCAAAAATACTTGTCTCTCTCCTCATTTGACAGAATGTTCCTCCAGCGAATTCCACTGTGTCAACAGCAAATGCATCCCTTCGGATAAAACATGCGATGGAATAAATGACTGCGGAGACCTAAGTGATGAATTGTGTTGCAAAGGTACGCGCCTGCTGCTGGACCACCCTTTTTCAACATGATTTGGGACACAGTCTGTAGCCATATGGTATCCACTCATGGATAAGAATCTCACCAGGCCTGTAGCCAGGCGGGGCTTGAATTTTACAGCTAAAAAATAAATCCAGCTCCCCACAATCTCCTCACCCCACCACTCCTTGGCTGTAATTTCTCTCCCTGGCGGGCGCTAAGAAAAAACCAGAGATGTCGTGTGTAGCCGGGCTTCTCGGCTCTGTTCTCGGCACGTGGCTCACCATGGGAACACACACATTTAGAACTGCTTTAAAATGGCTTTTAACAGCTTTTACAGAAGAAAATCTTGTGGGGCTGTCCGTTTAAGAGAGGGGGCGGAGCCCCGAATGGCCCCACCGCAGCTATGGGCCTGAATCTCACCACGGGTTGCGAGAAGGTTAAGGTTCACCTCTCTCAGAGTAAAATTGACCAAACCAGAACGTCAAACCTCTTCTTGTCAATTTCATCATTCTCTTGTTGAGTAGTGAACAAACCCAATTAAAAATGCTGAGTGAACAAAACTATCTGCCTCAGCCTCCCTCTTCCATTATATCAAACAACCAATCGTGAACAAGGGCTAACACCAGAGTCACAATAAAGAGGAAGTGGCTCCCGTTGTTCCACAAAATTAATGGTGTACCACCATAAATGGTTGTGATGCATACACACTCACACACACACACAAGTAGAAGAGCGGTCATTCCACTGATAATGAGTCAATGTTCAGAATCGCCGGTTCCATTGCATAGTCCGTATACTTAAAATCTGACTATAGTGTGTCCGTAGCCTTCTATGGCAGTGTTGATGATGATCCTTTGGATCACTTCTCTTGTATGCTGAATAGTCTATTTCCCACAGCATGCAGAGGAGAAAGCTTCCACTGTAACTCAGACGTGTGTATTCCAAAGGAGTATCTGTGTAACAAGGAAATGGACTGCTTAACGGGAGAAGACGAAACTCGCCAGTTGTGTGCAGGTAAGCTTCTTTGTTACCAATTGTAGTGTATTCAAAGCCACCTTGAATGCATGATATGTTGTGAAACATCTAATTGAAGTGTAATGTAAAGCATCCTCCTGGGCTAGGATCCAAATCCATCCAATAGTATTGCTAGCCCAGGAAGTAACAAGCCAATCACTTCGAGCAAGCTCCCTGAGCGGGAACGTCCGTGATTGATCCTTATGTGAACAACCTTATTGGTTGGTATTTGTACAGTGGGTGTGGCTACATTGGCCGGGAATGTTTAAAAGCAGGACAGCTGCAATGTAAAGGCTGTTCTGGCTATCAGATGTTGATCTGTGTTGGAGTTGTGTTCGAGCGGAAGAATAAAGTTGTGTTCTTGCTGAATCTCTCTGACCGCTTTGTTAAGCCAGCGACTTAATGCCTATTGGCTGATTGACACCATTGTTACTTCACCCCCGCCACCCTCTCTTCAACGGATTCAGGCCCTGTCCTGGATTGCCCAGGCAAGCCGGACCTCATCAGGACTTAGAAGCTAGTACTTGGATGGGAACTACTCTGTTATAGTTCTAGATCTGTTCATCTGATTGGAGTGTTTTAACATCTATACCTTCACACTTAAAAATGTTTTGCTGTGTGGACTTGTATCTGGTCGTGGACTGCAATAAATTATTCATTCATACCTGGATGGGAGACCTCCAAGGAATACCAGGGCTGTGATGCAGAGGCAGGCGATGGCAAGCCCCCTCTGAATGGCCCTTGCCTCCAAGCCCCCCCCCCCAGTTGCCAGGTCAGCTGGACTTTCAGACAACAACAACAAATTCAGGATGCTGCCTAAGCTAACATTGTAATGACAATAGATGGGTAGGCATGTTGGTCTGAAGCGACAGAACAAAGTCGGAGTCCAGCAGCACCTTTAAGGCCAACAACGTTTTATTTTGGGTATAAGCTTTTATGTACACACACACCACTTCAGATGCTTTAATGTAATGACAAGTGACTAATTAAAAACAACAACAACAGCCATGTGTATATTTTATTAAAGGTAAAGGGTTTCTCGAAAGCCAGTCGAATCCGACTCTAGGGTTGCGGTGCTCATCTCCGTTTCAAAGCCGAAGAGCCAGCGTGGTCATGTGGTCGGCATGACTAAACACCAAGGCGCACGGAACGCTGTTACCTTCCCACTGAAGTGGTACCTATTTATCTACTTGCAATTTCTTGCTTTCGAACTGCTAGGTTGGCAGGAATATTTTATTTTATTAAGACCAACCAAAATAACACATGTGCAAGGTTTTAAGTTCTCCAGAATTCTTCCCCATGATGGATGTTCTAAAAAGGGGTGTGCCTGTTATCAGGCTGCATGCGCACCCTACGAGCAAGTAGCGAAAAATGGAAGCCATCCAGCTGAAAGCATTATTATAGCTAATAATGGATCAAATGTCTTTATGGAACACATAGCTCCTTTAAAAGGACTAGAGGCAAAGGCGAAATGCCGTTATCCTTGTATTAACAAGCCTGGAGCTTGATTTAATTTAAAAAACCCTCTTTAAGTAGTTACATGAGTTATGTTGTTTTATGCTCTAGCTATGTTGTTCATGCTGTTGTTTTTTAATACCTTTTATGATGTTTTATATTTTTATTATGACTTATTCTGTAAACTGCCTTGACCAGCTCCCCCCCCCAAATTAAGATGATGCACTAAGCAAAAAGTCAATGCAAGCTAAAACTGTAGTGGCATTACTCAGCAAAACTTCCTTAGTGCCTTTTACTGGCTAAATGCCAGTACTCCCATATTAGATAATGCAGTTGTAGATAGTTGCATTAGTCCATAGCAAAATCAAGCCCAATGAACAATTCTGGAGATCGTGAAAGCTGTGCTTTTTGGATTGATCTAATAAAAGGTATTATATAACTTATGTTTCTGAATTCTTTTTTATTCAATTAAGTCTACATAGCCCATAATCTCTTAGATGCTAGAACAATGCTTTTTGTTTTTAAAAGAAACTTTTATTAGTTTCAAAGAGAAATTGAGAAACAAGCAACAACATAAGACAAACAATAAGACATAAGACAAACAATAAACACTAGAGCATATACTCTTGTCTCTACTTAAATTTCCATAATATAGTAAATCCGTTTTCTTTTACACCTAATCCAGTTTATATACAATGTTCGAGCAGTTCTTCATTTGGTTATAATCACATTATCAGTTCTCAAAGGTAAATTTCTATCCATTTGTATAATCTTAACCAGATTTTCTCAAACGCTGCTTCTTTTTTATCTTGTAACTGCAAAGTTAAATTATCCATTTCTGCTGTTTCCAATAATTTATATATCATTTCTTCTTTTGTTGGAATTTCTTCTTTTTAGCAATGGTTGAAACACGTGAGAAAGAAAAAACATTCAACACTTTAGGAAGCGGTCATTATTACATACATTTAAAATATCGGGTTAAAATTAAAATAGTAACAGTTGCGCATTTTACTAAGCAGTGAATTCATAGCACTAGCTCAGATTTTTGGTGCAGCCAAGATCTAGTTGGCAACTGTAAGAGAGATGTGGTTTTCACTTCCAGACAGACGATTAAGTAAGTGGTAGTCCTCCAAGCAGTTAGAAAAGGTTAAAATTGCTACAGAATTGCTTTTGAATTTTGTTAGGGAAGCAATCCGTATTGCAGTTAAAGAGAAATAACATAAATAGAGCATAATGGCACCTTTAAGACCAACTAAAGAGAAATAACATAAATAGAGCATAATGGCACCTTTAAGACCAACAAAGTTTTATTCAAGATGTGAGTGTTCGTGTGCACACTTCAAAGTGTGCATGCACACGAAAGCTCACATCTTGAATAAAACTTTGTTGGTCTTAAAGGAGACATTGGACTCTGTTCGATTGCTTCAGATCAACACGGCAGCCCACCTTGATAAACAGAGCGTAGTCTAGTTCATAACACAGAGTGTTAACTATACCTGCTTTGTGTATTTTTATATTAATTTGTGTGTATTTTTTTTGGGGGGGAAAGGTGATGAAACAGCTGATGAAAATGAAAGAGGTAATTTTTTTGTTTTGATATCGCATCATACTGTTTACTGTTCTTTTTGAAGTGATATCTTCTTTCAAGGATATCAGTATACAAATCTAGCCTTGGCCCAAAGCACTCTGTGTGATACACAGGGGTCGTTTCGTAGAAAAGGAGCTAGGGGAACTCATTAACATAACTCATTAGCATATGCCACACCCCCTGACATCAGGGGCCCGACGGTGGACCTGCAAGGCCGGCGAGAGTGCGAGGAAGCCCCGCCAAGGCCCTCCCTGGCCCCAGGCAGGCAGGGGTGGGGAGAGGCGGGGAGGAAGCAACTTACCCTCCCTCTTCTCCTGCCTCCTCCTGGCTGAATGAGGGCTGGAAGCGGGGCGGCTGGAAGCAGGGGGCGGGGCTTCGTCGTGTGCCCGTCCCCCCACACCTCACCCGGGGGAACTGCGATCCCCCTCCCGAATTGACCTCTGGTGATACATATCCCATTCTTATCTTCTCTTGCCATCACATTTTCATCCCGTTGTTCCTCCAGGAAGGTCAGGATGGCTTACAAATCCCCTACCACTTTGTCCTCACAACAACCCTGTGAGGTAGGTTAGTCACCCCATGTCACTCTGAGCGTCATGTCTGAATTGGGCTTCAAACCTCGGGTCTCCCAGATTCTAGTCAGCTGCTTTTATCTGTTTGTCTGGTCATCCTGGGTAGCAGGAATTGTGTGTCAGTGGACCTATTTTAACCTTATTTTTTTTAATATACTTTATAGCCCACCTTTCTCATGAGACTCAGGCAGATTACACACTGTAAAACAATGTAATCAAATAGCATGATGGCCTCCAACAAGTAATGCAATGGGACTAGGATCACAAATATTAGAAATGATGCCCCTCCCAAGTTATCAGATAGGACACATCATAGACAGTGCAAAAGAAAATGAAACCAGTGCCATAAGGAAATATATACAATAAACAGTGGAACAGGCTGCAAACCTGTTCCCTTTATAAAAGAGCCCTTCCTTTTTTACTGATGAGAATTTACACTAGCTGTATATACTTGTTTTTTAACTACAGAAAGAGCAGAAGAAACTGAGGAGGAATCCATGGACGCAGGTAACCTGAGAGTGCTTTATCATAAGAGTCATGTCTCTCACAGGGTCCTACAACTCGCCCTGACTGCTTTCGGAAAGACTAATAGCCCCATACTGTGTATTTTTAGTCAAAAGTAAAATCTGTTTTGTTCAACGGGAGTAACTTCTAAGGGCCCAATTAGACGTGACGGAGGGACCCCCAAATAGTTATCCATGTGTCTGCCTCTTTGCATCTAAAACGAGGAGGGAGTTCAGGCCCATAGCTACAGTGGGGCATCTCGGGGCCCAGCCCCCTGACTTACCGCCAACGCCCCCCGACCAGTGTTCCCTCTAAGCTGAGTTAGTGTGAGCTAGCTCACAGTTTTTCAGGCTCCAGCTCACACATTTTTTGTCTCAGCTCAGGAAGGGATGGCTCCAGAGCAAACTAATTTAGGCAGTAGCCAAATCGCTCGCTCACAACTCGCAAAGTACAGTTTTTGCTTTTTATAAGTCATGCTTATAACCGACATCAATTGAAATAACTAGGAAGTCACAGAAATCAAATCGCAATGCTGTGATTTTTTTTAATAAATATAATTATGACACCACTTATCTGTTTTATTAAAGAAAGAAGAAAGATCAAAACATTTTTACCCCAAATACACTGTGGTATTCCAAGCCACACCGTTACTCGCCGGAAGCGAATCATCGGGGGCCATCCCGCGCGAGAGGTGAAGTTACCAGTCACTAATTTGTATAACGGTGCAAGCTTCATTACAGCAATGCCTTCTAATAAATTCTGTAGTAATGTTAGGAGCTGCATCTGTGGTTATAATTATCCAGGACAAAACTCTGAATAAAATAAATGGAAGGAAAGTAGGAGTTAATTATTAACCCATGACTTCCAATGTTCCCGTATTTTTCTTCTTTCTCAATTCCCACCTCCCCCCCCAAAGGGAGGAGGACTGTACAGACAGAGTCCAGAGTTATTGCACAGAATGAAACCTGGTTTTGAAAGGCCTTTACTATTCACGGAGCAGGTGATTGAGTGAAATCTTGATTTTTCTATGCTGGGGGGGGAATGAAAGGATGGCAGTTTCTTTTATCCGCTCCATGATCTATTGGCTGTAAGTTCTACAATTAGGCAAGACGTTGGACATCTGTGGTCTAGGGATGCCAGCTTCCGGGTGGGACCGCGGGATCAGTGTTCCCTCTGAGTTAGTGTGAGCTAGCTCACAGATTTTTAGCTTCTGGCTAGGGTTGCCAGCCTCCAGGTGGGGCCTGGGGATCTCCCGCTTTTACAACTGATCCCCAGCCGAAAGAGATCAACTCCCCTGGAGAAAATGGCTGCTTTGAAGGGGTGGACTCTGTGGCATTGTACTATGCTGAGGCCCCTCCCCTCCCCAAACCACGCCCTCTCCTGGCTCCACCCCCAAAGTCTCCAGGTATTTTCCAACCCAGACTTGGCAACCCTACTTCTGACTCACAAATTTTTGTCTTAGCTCAGGAAGGATGGTTCCAAACAGGGGTCATTTTGAGGGGTAATGAGCAG